CTCGAGTGATGGAGGAAGAAGTCACCAAGATGCTCAATAATGACTTTATCCGCTAGTGAAATATCCTAAATAGCTAGCCAATATCATGGTGGTGCCCAAAAAGAATGAAAAATAGAGAGTTTGTGCTGACTACAAAGACCTTAACAAAGCATGCCCAAAGGGTTGCTTTCCTATTCCAAACATCGATCAACTCATAGGTTCCACAGTTGTTCATGAATTATTAAGCTTTTTGGATGCATATTCAGGATACAACAAGATCAGAATGTAACCCAGAGACCAAGAAAAAGCTTCATTTATTACCGACATGGGGACCTACTGCTACAACATCATGCCATTCGGCTTAAAAAATATCGGATCAACGTACCAAAGATAGTCACTTGAATGATCTGGGATTAAATTAGCAAATCTATGGAAGTATACATTGATGATGTATTAGTAAAATCGATTCGAGCCGACGACCATCTGACCCACTTGAAGGAAGCCTTCGAAGTCCTTCAAAAGTATAACATGAAACTCAACCTAGAAAATTGTGCCTTTGTGGTCAGTTCAGGTAAGTTCCATGGCTTTCTAGTTTCAAATAGAGGTATAAAAGCTAACCTCGTGCATATTAGAGCAATTGAAATCATAACCAAAGTATTAAGAAGTCAAACGGAAGCAAAGAGGCTGACCGGAAATATAGCAGCGCTCGTGCGATTCATATCTCGCTCCCACGAGAGGTGCCACAAAATCTTTGTGATGCTGAAGAAGAACAAGAACTTCAGATGGACTACTGAATGTCGACAAGCAAAAGGTACTTGTCCAACCCGCCTCTTTTGTCGAAACTCGAATTGGGAGAACGACTCTTGGTCTACCTGGCAGTGGTAGAAACCGCTATAAGTGTCGTTTTAGTCCGACAAAATAAAGGTACGCAATCTTCCATATAATATGTAAGTAGAGCACTAATAGGCTCTGAAACTAGGAATTCACATTTAGAAAAACTTGCACTAGCACTCAAAATTGTTGCGCGAAAGCTAAGATGATATTTTTAATGTCATCCTATTTTGGTGGTCTCTACTTTCCCGTTGAGGAGTATTCTCCATATGCCAGAACTATCGGGTGACTCGTCAAATCGGCGGTCAAATTAAGTGCGTATGATTGATATTTAGCTTAAAGTATGTATATTTATATGCATATCGCCTCGTATTTTACTCATGTTTTGTAGATTTCGGATATGAAATATAATGATTTGTGCTAATTTGTAATTTTGTTATATGTAGGAATCATCCAAAAATAATATGGGACAAAGGTGCAAGATTGGAGGCAAAAAGGAGCGAAATGGGAAAAATGCCACAGAGAAGCGCCCAGGCTAGCGTGGGGCGCTACCTGTGGCGCAGAAGGCAGAATGCTAAAAAGTTCAAGCGTCATGGCTAGCGCCCCACACTACTCTGGGACTAGTGACGGGAAAAATCTTCTAGTTCGTCCGGGGCAATGTTATTTTGGCCCAAGACCCCCNACCACAAACCATGCTTGGGAGGAGGCCTCCAACTAATTTTTCTTCTCTTATCTTCCTTTAATCTCATTGTTTATTAGTTCTAGAGTTTTGGGGTGCTACATGAACATTGTAGTTGAAGCTTGAATTGTTCTTATTATTTTATCATATTGGTTTATTTATTCAATCTTGCGCTTAATTGTTTGATTGCTTGATAACCAATTAAATACTATCTACAAATCTAGGATTGATCGGGAGAGGGAATTCTAGATTGCATATATGATAGAGTAGAACGAGATCTTAAACCTGAGTGTTAGAAACGGATTTGCTGTTAGGATAGGGATATACCTAATCACCTTTCTTGGTTATTGTACAAGAACTATTAATGCATTCTTGTTAATCCTAATTCCATAGGAATATAGGCGTTAGGTTAGCTTGAATAGGCGAGTAGTACTTCGGGAGAATGCTACGAGTAATATTAACCCCGTCAATCAATAACTCAAATAAATTAATTAGACAATTTAGGTAGAAGGTTCAACGGGATTGTTAGCTAACCCATAGCTCTAGAATATCGTCTCTCATTAAATTTGTCTCTAATATTGCCGACTTGTTTTTCTTTAATTTCTTAGTTCTCGACTCTAGATTAGTTTTAGTTAAATATTCATACTTTAGAAAAGTCACTTGAATAGATTAATTGTCTTAGTTTAATTTAGTAAATAGTTAATCACAAGTCCTTGTGGGTACGATATCTGGACTTACAATCTTATATTACTTGTACGATCACGTATACTTGCGTGTGTGTTTGGGAGCAACGAGTTTTTGGCGCCGTTGTCGGGGACTTGAATATTGACTACTTTCTAGCTTTTACTTTAGTTGTTTATTTTGTCAAGTCTAACGTTTCTTATTGGGTGCTCTGCTCTCAAGTACTTTGATTAAATATGAAGGGTCAGAAGCCAGGATAGACTTCAAGGCTTTGACCCTGAACCTGAGAGAACATTTCACAGGAGGTTGAGGGAAGCAAGGGACAAAGATAATCTTTAGGCACTTAATCAATTACATGTGAACATAGCAGAGGAGCAACATATGGTTGTTCAGGAGGTGGCGATGCCCTGCATTGCAAATGTCACCTCCAGCATCGTGAAACCTAGAATCACTGGGCACTTTGAGCTAAAACAGAGCATGATTTAGTTACTACATGCGAATGGATAGTTTTTGGGGCTTCCACACGAGGATACACAATAGCACATCCTTAACTTCTTGGAAATTAGTGATACTTATATCACTAACGGTGTCACTCCAGACTATGTGAGGCTTACATTGTTCCCGTTTTCTCTGTTAGGCGAAGCAAAGCGGTGGTTGAAGGCGGAACCAACTAATTCTATTATATCATGGAATGATCTGGCGAGAAAATTTTTTGCATGGTTCTTTCCTTCAGGCAAACCTACAAAGATCAGAAGTGAGATAGTCACCTTCAAACAGAAATCAGGGGAGTCTCTATATTCAGCTTGGGAGAGATTCAAGGGGCTGCCCAGAGATTGTCCTCATCCCAACCAGACAAATGAAGTGTTAGCTCACACCTTCATAGAAAGGCTCCATCCAGAGACAAAAATTATGGGGGACGCTGCAACGGGAGGTCAAGTGTTGGAGAAAAGCTTTGATGAAATTTATGCCTTATTGAATAAATTCTCCAAAAGCAATCCTGATTTCAGATGTTCAAGCGATATTTCGTTGGACTCGGGATCTTCAAGCGTCCACTTCTGCCTGCTTCACATCCCATGAAATGTTGAGATTAATTTTTTTATTTATAGCAAAAGCTATTTGTAATATATAAATATGTAGCAATAGTCGTTCCGATTATCAGAACTAATGGTGAAAATAGATAATATTCTCTTGTATTTTCTTGTGGGTGTTAATACATTACGTCCAATATAAGAGTGTGTCTATATTTGGAAATGTAATGCTCCAGACGAAGAGTGCAAACCAACTATATTTTCTCTAATCTCACTTTATTAGTATAAATGTTATTTAATTTTCCACCCTTATAATTTAGTGTCTGATACCATATGAAAACTTTACACCCACTCGAGCAAAGTTGCAATATATGTAAGACATCATATTTTCTAAAATCACACACTTGATTAATATAATTAAGTTTTTTTAAAAAAAAATTATCACCATTAAAATTTATAGTTGATACTGGGAGTACACAGAAACTCGCAAAGTAGCATTATACGTATGACATAGAAAAATTATTATTTTATTATTTTCTAATTAAATTTCATGTTATAGTAGATTACAGTAGGAAAATTTGCTAAGCACGTGCATTTTGCCGTAGAAACTTTGTAAGAATTAATTACGAGGCTCATTTATTGCTTAAGAAAGAAGTCCAATTTGACAAGCCTAAAATCGAAAACTCAAACCGAAAAGAACCGCACCAAACCGCAAGAAAACTGAACCGCACCGAAAATACTTTGGTTCGGTTTTGGTTATTAAAATCCAAAACCGAAAACCAAAAAAACCGAGTCGAACTTATATAAAACCGAATCGAACCGACCGACGCCCACCCCTACCTGATATGCAAGGAGAGATGGGCAGACACACAGTGCAAAAATCTGTGGGGTTCCTCGAGTTAGACGTTGTTTCTGTATTATCAGCGCAAGTTGCCACATTAGCCAACTAAGTCAATAAGATGACCTTGGTTATTAACAAGCAACAAGCTCAGTCAGTGCAACAGGTTCAAATATTTTGTGAAGTATGTGGAAAGGGTCACACGAGCGACTTATGCCCAGCTAATCCAAAGTCTATCTATTTTGTGGGTAATGAAAATAGGGGCCAGACAAATCAGTATGGGAACACTTACAATCCTAACTAGAGGAACCACCCAAATGTCTCTTACGGTGGAAACCAAGGTGCTCAGAATCAGTACAGGCCACAAGCTCCTCAACAACAATATAGAACACCATAAGCTAAACAACCTACAAACCCGACGAGTTATATTGAGGAGATACTAAAGAAATTGATGGTTGATCAGTAGGCCCAGGCAGCATCCCACTCTATAGCTATTCGGAATTTGGAGAGACAAATAGGGCAACTAGCTAGTGTCCAAAATACTCGACCAGCTGGATCTCTTCCAAGTGACACTAAGGCTAATCCTAAGGCATCTATTACTGATGTGTCATTGAGGAATGGGAGACAGTTAGAATAAGTCCCATCGAAAAAGAGAAGGCAAGTGACCTTTAATGAGAAATTGGCCACCATAGAAGCAAAATCAGAAAACGTAAAGGAGTCAGAGAAGCCAATTGAAGAGGCGGTGGCTAAGCAACCCCCACCATTAGTTGCGAGGGAACCACTCCTGTTCCCTCAGAGATTGCAGAAAGTGAACGATAACGCTGCTTATAAAAAGTTTCTTGATATTTTGAAGTAGGTGCAAACCAATATTCCACTAGTAGACATCCTGCAAGAAGTTCCCAAATATGCCAAATACATCAAAGACATAGTGGCAAATAAGAGAAGGTTGGTAGAGTTCGAGACTATGGCACTCACTGAAGAATGTAGATCAAGAATTCAAAGCAAACTACCTCAGAAATTGAAGGATCCAAGTAGTTTCACTATCCAAATCTCGATTGGTAAGCACGCAGTCGGGCGCGCTTTGTGTGATCTTGGGGAGAGCATCAATTTGATGTCGCTATCTATTTTCAGACAGTTGGGGTTGGGTGAGCCGCGCCCAACCACGGTGATTTTACAGGTTGCTGATCGCTCCCTTGCTCATCCTGAAGGAGTGATTGAAGATGTGTTAGTTCAAGTGGGTTCTTTCATATTCCCTACGGATTTCATTATCTTGGACTATGAGCCTGATCAGGAAGTTCCATTTATTTTGGGGCGTCCATTCTTAGCCACGGGACGAGCTATTATCGATGTATATGAAGGAAAAATGACAATGAGAGTAGGTGTTCGAGTGAAGGTATTCAATGTGTATAAAGCACTCAGATTGTCAGCCCACTATGAAGAGCTATCTATGATTTCTGTGGTGGAAAGTGATGTGACTTCATTAATGCCTTATATGAGCCCCATAGATCCTCTTGAACGAGCTTTTATGGGGTATGAAGAAGACAGTGAATATGAGATGATGGAAGAAATTGAGTAAGTCCTTAACATGTCTTGCAAGTATGTCCATGGGCTTAGGAGATTTGAGGAGTTTGACAGACATGTTACTCTGACCCTTCCCAAACCATCTATAGAAGAAGCTCCAAGGTTAGAGCTTAAGCCTCTTCCAGCGCACCTGCACTATGCTTACTTGGGGAACTCTAAAATGTTACCAGTGATTATCCCATCCGGCTTGACCAATGTCCAAGAAGAAAAGCATCTCAGAGTGCTTCGTGAGCATAAAAAAGCTATTAGGTGGACAATTGCTGATATCAAAGGAATTAGTCCATCATTTTGCATGCATAAAATCTTTCTGAAAGATGGACACCTCCCTAGTGTTGAGAAACAAAGGAGATTAAATCCTATTATGAAATAGGTCGTGAAGAAAGAAGTAATTAAGTGGCTTGATACAAGTATCATCTTCCCTATTTCTAACAACAACTAGGTGAGCCCAGTGCAATGTGTGCCTAAAAATGTCTAATTCCTACTCGCACCGTGATGGGGTGGAGAGTTTGCATTGACTACAAAAAGCTCAAAAAGCAACCCGCAAGGACCACTTCCCACTTCCATTCATTAACCAGATGTTGGACAGATTGGTTGGGCATGAATATTATAGCTTCCTTGGTGGTTAGTCGGGGTACAACCAGATTGACAAATGCCCAGAGGATCAGGAGAAGACCACTTTCACATGTCCTTATGGTACTTTTGCTTTCAGACGAATGTTATCTGGTCTTTGTAATGCACCGGCCACTTCCCAAAGGTTGCGATGGCCATTTTCACTGATATGGTGGAAACATTTGTAGAAGTTTTCTTGGATGATTTTTCAGTCTTTGGGTCTTCTTATGTTGACTGTTAATTTGAGCAATGTGTTGGCCCATTATGAAGAAATAAATTTAGTGCTAAATTAGGAAAAGTGTCATTTTATAGTACAAGAAGGTATTGTGTTGGGACATAGAGTGTCAAAGAGTACCATTGAAGTTGATAAGGCAAAGGTGGAAGCGGTTGCAAACTTACCTCCACCCATCTCTGTGAAGGATGTACGGAGTTTCTTGGGACACGCGGGTTTCTATAGACGCTTTACTAAAGATTTTTCAAAAATTGCTACTTCTTTGTGCAGGTTGCTTGAAAAGGATGTGACCTTCAATTTTGATGAAGCCTGCCTGAAGGCATTAGAGAAGCTCAAAGAGAAATTGGTGGCTGCCCCTATTATTATGGCACCGGATTGGTCCTTATCATTTGAAATTATGTGCGATGCAAGTGACCATGTTATTGGGGCAGTGCTAGGCTAGAGGAAGGACACGATGTTTTACTCATATACTATGTGAGTAAGACTCTTGATGATGCACAGTTGAATTACACCACCACCGAAAAGAAGTTGTTGACCGTTGTGTGGGCCTTTGAGAAATTTCAGGCAAACTTGGTAGGAACAAAAGTTATAGTCCATACTGATCATGCAGCAATCAGGTATCTATTTACAAAAAAAGAATCCAAGGCTAGATTGATGCGTTGGGTTTTGTTGTTAAAGGAATTTGATGTAGAAATACGAGATCGGAAAGGCACAGAAAACCAAGTAGCCGACCATCTATCAAGGCTGGAAAATCATGAGCACGTGGAGGAAGGTGGACAAATTAAGGAGGCATTTCCTGATGAGCAACTTTTTGCCATCACCCATAAACCTCCCACATGGTACGCGGACTATGTGAATTATATTGTGAGTGGGGTACTTCCTCCTGAAAATGAATCTAAGGCTAGAAAGCGGTTTCTACATGATGTGAGCTTCTACTACTGGGATGAGCCATTCTTCTACAAATAGTGTGCTGATCAGTTGATGAGGAGATGCATTCCTGAAAAGGAGGTGGAATTAGTGTTGTATGATTGCCAAGCCTCGCCTTATGGGGGCCATCATGGAGGCGATAGGAAAGCTGCAAAAGTGCTACAGTTTGGGTTCTATTGTCCAACATTGTTCAAGGATGCCCATGCATTTTTTAAGAAGTGTGAACAGTGTCAGAGAACAGGAACAATCACAAAGAGGCATGAGATGCCTTTGAATAACATCCTGGGTAGAGATTTTTTATATGTTGGGGATAGACTTCATGGGATTATTCCCATTATCTAGAGGAAACAAATATATCTTGCTAGCGATTGACTGCGTGTCAAAATGGGTAGAGGCGGTTGTATTTCCAACCAATGATGCCAAGGTGGTAGCGGCTTTTGTGAAAAAGACATATTCTCGAGTTTTGGAACTCCACGTGCCTTGATTAGTGATGAAGGGACACATTTTTGCAATCGGTTGTTGAATAACCTTCTAGTCAAATATAAGGTCCGCCATAGAGTTGCCACAACATATCATCCGCAAATAAGTGGACAAGCTGAGGTGTCCAACAGAGAAATAAAGCAGATATTAGAGAAGACAATGAGTGTGAATAGGAAGGATTGGGCTGCAAAGTTAAATGATGCCTTATGGGCATATAGAAATGCATACAAAATACCAATTGGGATGTCCCTGCATAAGCTTGTTTATGGGAAGGCATGTCACTTGTCGGTTGTACTGGAGCACAAAGCGTATTGGATAATTAAAAAGTTGAAAATGGACTTTGAAGCCGCGGGCAAAAAGAGGCTATTGCAGTTGAATGAGTTAGATGAGTTCAGGCTGCACTCTCATAAAAATGCTAAGCTTTACAAGGAGAAAACAAACAAATGGCATGACAAGCGTATCAGGCCACGTTACTTTGAACAGGGCCAAAAGGTACTATTGTTTAATTCTAGGCTTAACCTATTTCCTGAAAAGTTAAAATCGAGGTTGTCAGGTCCATTTGAGGCGGTAAGAGTCACTCCTTAGGGTGCAATTGAGTTGCGTGCTTTAAATGGTGAAAGAAAATTGTTAGTGAATGGGCAAAGAGTCGAGCACTATTGAGGAGGTGTCATTGATCGTGAAAAGTCAAAAGTAATACTCGTTGATGAGTAAGCAATGCCCTGCGTCGTGTCGCGATATTAAATCGGGCACTTGTTGGGAGGCAACCCAATTTTTATTGCTTTCATAGCTTAGCTTTTCAATTTTTTTAGTTAGAGAAGACTAGAGTTTTTTTTTGTAGGCATAAAAATCATAGGTAGAATGGTATGGGATATGTAAAATGGATATATTAAGTGCTTGGGGGGGATCGGGGATTTCCTTAAAAAAAAAAAAAGAATGCGGAGAAGTAGCACCCAGCGCTACCTGGGGCGTAGAAAATAAAAACAATTTACCCCTCAGTGCCAACCTTAGCACGACGCGCTGGGCTGGGGGGCAGGTAAGTTTTATTCCCTTTCTCATTCATTATTTAAAATAAATACCCCTAAAACCGGACCCACATACCCATCTACCCTCACATTATAACCCAACCCATTCTCACTAAAATTAAAAATAACTCTAACCCCCATTAAACATTTCTCTCTATCCACGCTTCTCTATCTCTCTTTGTCCGATTCTCTTCCTCCCTCTCTCAATTTTTCTAGTTTTTTCCTCTTGCATTTATCTACAAATATCCCAGGTATGTTTCCCTTCTCCCTTTTTCTTTTATTTTGTAGATTATAATACCCCTCCCCCCTCCCAAACGCCCCAACCCCAATTCCCCCATAAGTTGTCAAAAATTGGTTGTTGTGTTGTATACGGAGTAGTAAACTATAATTTCCTCTACTTTGCTTGAAATTCTGGAGGGCCATCATGTTTCACCATTGTTGAATTGAGTTGCACACACTTAATGCCCACCATTTGTTTGGTAAAATGCTTGAAAGAGTAAATTGTGCACCGGTGAAGTTTGAGTAGCTGAGTGTAGTTATATATGATGTCGAGCTAAAGTGTAGGGTGTTTGGGGGTGGTTTTACATAATTCGAAGCTTGGCTTTAATGTTCACATTCCACCCACACCATGTATTTTGTATTATTTATGTTGCATCACTTTGTTAGAATTAGCTAGTGTAGTGTATTAGTTGTAGAGATTGGGGATCATGTGTTACTTGCTTGCACTAAGGCTAAGTCAATTCACCATGTTCGACTGCTTGATTTGAGTGGCGTAGTTAGTGAATTAGGATTGTGTGGCATGGGGAAGTCTTGAGTACTCATCACCTTGTTGTGCAACAATTGCGCGGTTTAAACCAATATTGTGAGTATATTACATAGAGCCTTCGATTTTAAGTGTGGGGTTATCTTTGACTCTCACGATAACCTTAGGAAGATTTCTTGATTCATTCTCACATTCATGATTATTGTGTTGTAGGTTGATATGGCTCGTGATAGTGCAAACAAGGGCAAAGGAGTGGGGAAGTCCTCAACCACTGCTCCCACTCCTAAAAAGCACAAGCAAGGGGAAGGGTCATCTCGGCGAGCTAAAGGGAAGCAGGTTGCCGACATATCGAGGAAAGCACCATTGGGTCCAAGGCCCTATTTGGATCTGGCTCAGGAGGATGCCATCTAGTGGTATCATAGCTTTGAGCCGTATGGGAGGCACGTCTCAAAAATGGGAATCAACGTGAAAACTCTGGAGAAGAACTTCCCGGATGTGCTAGGACGGCAGAGAAAAATCAAGATGGATAAGTTTCTAGAGTGTCCGGGACATGCAAATTTGAGCATGGTGAGGGAACTCTATGCAAATTGGAATTGGGGACCTATTCATGTCGTGGGTTCGATGAAAAGAAGTGTTGTTGGATAGAGACTCCTTATGCAAATTCTTGGGAGTTTACTGCCCTAACCCGCGAAGGCTGCAAAAGTTTGTCAAATGCCCAGGCTACCAGGCTATAGGTCACACTCTATGTGGCGCTGATTCTAATGCAAAGTGGACACGAACTAAGGGTGATGCCCATCTTGAGATGATCCGCTTCGACTTCAACAAGACAGCCAAGGTATGGCAAAACTTCGTGTATGCCAAACTAATGTCGGTTGAGCACAATGGTGAATGCACTCGAGCTCGAGTGTGTTTGATATTTTTTCTGATGAATGGGTGACACATCAATGTGGACGAGATCATGA